CCCTTTCTCTGCATCCTTGCCAACATCTGTCGTTTCCTGACTTGTTACTTTTAGCCATTCTGACTGGTGTGAGGTGGTATCTCATTGAGGTTTTGGTTTGGATTTCCCTGATGCCGAGTGATGTTGAGCACTTTTTCATGTGTCTGTTGGCCATTTGGATGTCTTCTTTGGAAAAATGTCTGTTCATGTCTTCTTAGGCCAGTGATTTTTTGAATTATTTCCATTGCTAGCTGATGCTTCAATTTGGAAGTTCTCGTCATCACCTCTAATTTAACATATGTCTAAAATCAAACTCTTGCTTTTGATTAAGTTCTTATTTTCCAACATCTGAGGCATTATTATCCTTATGCTTGAATACTTTGCCTTCTCTCCCTTGCTCAGTTTACAGTTTTTTTCTGAAATCTTTAAGATACTTTATTTCAAGGTACCCTTGCATTCAGTTCTTAGACATCACCTCTGTTTATTATTTCATAGTGGCATAATTATAGTGGCTTTTCAGTCTCTCATTTCCATTCTACCATGTAAATAGTATCAGCTATTTGTTTCTAAGATATTATTTTGATCACATTGCTAGTCTCATGCTGAAAAATTTTAAATTCTTCTTCACTGCTATCAAAGTCCCAGTGTTTTCCACAGAAAAACACTAATAGCAAAGAAGAAGTGAATGAATCTGTTGTCAGGTTCTTACAGTTTCCACTGCTTTGTGCTTTCATTTGACCCAATCCTCTATCTTTCCAACCCCCAGCCGTTTGATATATTTTTTTCCCATTAGTAAATGGGTTATTGAAGAACTGATTTTCCTAGTCTCAAGTGATTTTTTTCTTTTCCTTAATTGCTACTTATATTAATTTGGAAATTAATCAAGTATTTGTAGTACTCTTATTAAGGGTGGGAGGTGATTTATTTTTTCTTTTAGAGAAGCCAGGATATAGGTTCTATGTGATTTGTTCTCTGAAAAATAGATATATATACTTTAATTTCTCTCAGTTGAATAGTTTTCTTAAAATTATTAAGATTATTCCACATTCTAAAATGAGACCTATCCTTATGGGAATATGAGATTCAGTATTCTTTTTCTTGGTTCTGTAATTCTGAGATAAGAAATAAAAGGCCAGAATATTTTAGTGAGTAGATTTTTGCGTGATGAATTTGCTATCTATTTGGTTATAGCTCAGTTTGTAACTTAATATAAATGTGTTAAACATATTTTCAGTTTTTAAACTTTGATTACAAATCTTTCATTGAAAACTGCTGACATGAAATTGATACAGAATCAAGATAGGGTTATTCTGTAGGAGTCTGTTGGGTAGGAAAGAAATTCTAAGTCTTTTATTTCTAAAACAGCATTTCTATTTGTATTTATTTTACATTTCCAGTATGGTAGCAGCTAGTATCCACTTGCATTCTTGAATGTTGTGGCAGCTTGTATTTACTTTGCATTCACCACAATAAAAATGTAATTCATCCTTTAAATTTGTTTATATTTATTTGAGAAAGATGGTCCAAACTTCATTCTTTTGATTCTTTTTACATTCTCATTATAATAAAGTTTCTTTTAAGTTCATTTTGGCAGTCTTTGTTTCTAAAAATCTTATGTTTGTAAAATACTTTTAGTTCCAGCAAGTTCGTGAGCAGATGGAGGCAGAGATAGCTCACTTGAAGCAGGAGAATGGCATACTGAGAGATGCTGTCAGCAACACTACAAACCAGCTAGAAAGCAAGTATGTTTCCAAATGCTTTATTTTTAATTGAATGGCAGAATATTTTCATTGAATGGTGGAATATTTTCTTGGACCATCAAAATGGTGTTTGATAGTGTTTGGTTAGACTTCTGTGTTTTACGTTTGTTTCTAAAATGAATTTTCAAAAACAATTTTCTTGCTATGTGAAGAACCTCTTCAGCTAAACTCTGTGATAAATATTAGTGCTAGCAGTGCAACATTGTCTATACATTTATGAAACTGAATATTTAAGTTTTAAAACATCTATCCCCTTTAACAGTAGTTCTTAAACTTCATTATTCTGAAGGGCATCTGGCATGTTCATTAAAAAAGCATATTCTTGAGTCCTACCCATAAAAGATTATGATTCAGTGGCTTTGAGGTGGAGCCCAGGAATCTGCATATTAAGACATATTCCTTGTGATGGTGATGAAATTGGCTCTGGGCTTTCCTTTGAGAAACTGCCTTAGAAAAGTGTTAGTCGCATGCTTACAAGAATAAGCACTCTAACTGATTTTAATAGATTTTCAGAACACCAGTTTGAGGGTGACACTGTTGACTTATGCTCATGAGTATGTAGCCATCCATTTTTCTTGATTATGGTGATTTTAGAATTTGTGTAATTGTTACCAGAATGATTCAGAGATTATAGTCAACCAGACTTCATTATTAGTAGTCACTTAAAACATTCTCTTTTCACTTGGCTGTAAGTGGAATTACTCAGAAAAACAAATATCAAATATGTTTTGTTTATTCTTTTTATGTGTTTGTAATAATAGGAGGTTCCTAATCCAGTTACTGTTTTCAGGCAGTCTGCTGAACTAAATAAACTACGCCAGGATTATGCTAGGTTGGTTAATGAGCTAACCGAGAAAACAGGAAAGCTACAGCAAGAGGAAGTCCAAAAGAAGAATGCTGAACAAGCAGTTACTCAGTTGAAGGTGATCTATTCCCATCTTTATTTATCATTTCATAAATAATGTAGATATTATTTTTTTTTATTTATCTTTATTTATCATTTCATAAATAATGTAGATATTCAGTTCAGGGACCTAAATATGTATGTAGGTTTGAGAAATGTAGTTTGAGGCTTAAAGGAATCTGTAGTCTAAGTGTTTTGCCTGTGTAGAAGCATGTGCAGTAATGAGAGAATTGAATATAGGCTTGAGTCTGAAGTTAAAGACTGAAGATAGGAAAAATAAAATTTGCTGATGGACAGATACAAACAGAATTTCTTCTTTGGGCGGTTAGGGTTCACATGTGTGAGGCAAAAATCAAGTGGTAAAAATTACCTTTAATATTATTTATCATCCATAACTTGGATTTTTCAGTAAGTTCAGTAGAGCATATTTTTCTTCCAGCATTGGAATAGATGATTTTCCTTTGCTTTAGCACAAGACCAAGAAATGCTCCAGTAGCTTTCACTTGAGCCGTAGTATTAAAAAAATCACAGTTTCTTTAGATACCAGAATGGTACTTAGTACCATGAGAAGCTCCTGCTGAGAAGTGATGCATGGGGTTGCTCAGGCTACAGAGGAATAGATTTGTTTCTTTTGCACCTTATAGCATATGCACATTGAGTAGAATGGTGAATAGAATTGTCCTTTCCTCCTTTTACTGGGGAGAGGATTTATTGAACATATAGTTCAATTTGTGTAAGTCCAGTGTATTAGATTCCTTCCTGGGTCATTGGTAGAATCATACCTAATAGCAGTTCCAGAGTGGTAGGGGTTAAAAGGACTTTGAGAATAATTGAATGTGGAAAATAGTGCAATTTGTTTTCTTGAAGTTTTTATGGGTCCCTGTGGGAGATTGATATAATTGTCCTTTTATTCAAAATTTGTCTTGCTGGTGTGTTTACTGCTGGCACTTATAAATATGGAAGTTCCATATGGATATGGATAAGCAGATAAATGATACTAAAGACCATAGTCATCATTGAAGTGTTGTGCTCTATCTCAAAATTTGAATTTTAGGTTCCTACTGGGATTTAGCAGTAAAGATACCATCCTGTCTTTTGAAAGCCTATCAGCTGAAGAAAATAAAAATGGGAAACAGATCATAGCTAATAGGTCAGATATATACATAGTAGTAGCTATAGTGATCTACCTGCACAAATATTTGGTTTTTGTAAATCCTGCATTTTGGAGGGTAGAATGACTGTGGCTGATATCTTTGTATAAGTCTGGGCATATCTGCATATTTTATTAATGTAGGAGACTGATGGAATAAGCAGTTTTATGACAAGAGTAAAGAGGATGCCTTTTTTTTTTTTTGAAATCCTGTGATTGTGCTGACTTAACCTTTTTCCAGGTTCAGCTACAAGAAGCTGAGAGAAGGTGGGAAGAAGTCCAGAGCTATATCAGGAAGAGAACAGCAGAGCATGAGGCAGCACAGCAAGGTAAGGGGAGAGGTATTCATGTAAATTTAGTATATAGTCCTGGGTTAAATTTTCTCCCCTCTCTATATACGAAGAAAGTATGATTTGACCTTTTTGTTAAGGCCAATAAAAATAGCTTTTGCACTTTTGGAGTACCTTTATTTTTTTAAGATTTCTTAGAATTTCTAAAATAAATTCTCTACTAGCTTTATCCTGAAGCATTAAGTTGCAGATAAAATTATAGTTTATAATAGGGTAATAGGAACCTAGTTTGTGTGTTTTCGTTTCTGTAGTTATTTCCTTTGGTTCCTTGATTACCTCTTTATTTTTTGTTTGTAAGGAAGCACTCACTTTCTGTATTGTGAAGAGAAAGTAAGATCATTACCATTTCAAATAGTTGACTTAAAACAGTCTACCTTATTAAATGCTAAGTTTCATTACTTATTCTTAATTTGATGACTCCATCTGGGAGATAATGGAGCTTGTATTGTGTGTTATTTGTCTCCATTACTCCTTTTCTCCTGTAGGAGTTAGTGTAGTAAATTATAGTTCCAAACAGTAGGATAGATCATACAATTTTGGCTTTTTAGATCTTTGGTTTCCTCTGATTCCCCATGCCTGCCGTCCCTCCATTCCCGTATTTCCCTTTGGTTCCATAAATATACCCAAGATACTTAAAGGCCCTTTTCTTTATACATAAAGTTTATGTCTATGTTAAGATACATTAGCTTATTTTTTAAAGTTATATTTTTTATTTCATCAGTGAAGCACATACGAATTTTGACAAAAGAATTGAGCTATAAACTATATTTCTCTATAAACTATGTAACTGTAAACCATAAAACCTCACTCTCACCAGAAGCAGTCATTTTTGCTTTTGGTATTCTCCATCATATTTCTAAATACACATACTATTTGTACACATACTGCTATCTCTTAATAGGTATCTGTTGACTTTTATTTCGGGAAAATGAGGTCTTAACTCCCACACCATTCCTCCCACCTTCCCCTCATTCTACCAATATGGTTACACATACTTCTTGATCATGTCAGTATTTGTTGTTGACATCATTATGACAGTGTAACTCAGTCCTGAGCCAAGAGAAATATTAAAACTGCAGTTCTTCTCATGAATAATGTTGTTTAATTTCTTGAGCTAATTATTGCTTTATGTTTTTAAGTTGTTTGATCCTTATTTTATGATTTAAAATTTTACCTATGGTTAAACTCTAACCCTCTCTCCTCTGCCCACCTCTCAACATACGAGGTAGTGGAGAGTCTTTTCAGTTTTTCCTTCTGGAATCCTTCGTCTTCCTGTTCCAAGACTTGTGTGTTTTCTTTTTCTTTTTTTTTTTTTTTAAAGATTTTATTTATTTATTTGACAGAGAGAGAGACAGCGAGAGAGGGAACACAAGCAGGGGGAGTGGGAGAGGGAGAAGCAGGCTTCCCGCCGAGCAGGGAGCCCGATGTGGGGCTCGATCCCAGGACCCTGAGATCATGACCTGAGCCGAAGGCAGTCGCCCAACCAACTGAGCCACCCAGGCGCCCCAAGACTTGTGTGTTTTCTAGGTTGGCTCCATAGCTGTCTTCCTGAGACTGTGTTCTGGATACTGTCACCACCAACTTTCTTGCTTTCCTCCCTCGTTTAATCACATATCTTTTAGTCCCATGATAGTATGCCTTTAAGTACATTGGTTAAGGCTTTGCATATCTGAAAATGTTTTTATTTTTTCTACCTTCATGCTTGATTGGTAGTTTGTTTGGATGGAGAGTTCTAGGTTATAAATAATTTTTCCCACAGAAGTTTGAAGGCATTAATTCAGTGTTTTAACTTTCACTATTGCTGGTAAAGAAATAATTATGTTCTTCTGAGTTCTAATCCTGGATATGACCATTATGTTTAATTATAAGGAGTTCTTTTTTGAGTTGTGTTTCATTCTGTTAATCGTGTCTTGTTATGGCAGTAACATCTTAAAATATGCACACACATGCATTTTCTCTTTTTCCCTATATTTGCCTCTCTTCCTTGGTGGTAGTGGTGGTGAACTTGTTTATTTTATGGGGCCAAGAGGTAGCTCTTACGATACCTAGTATCTCCATTTCCTGAGCCTTTCCAGATTTCCTGAACACCTTCCCCTTCCAAGTTAGTGATTATCTCTCCATTCATTTTATCTTAATTTCTGGATTTGGAGTTAGTTTGATTGCATCAAAGATAGTTTGTGTTTGTTTCTCATTTTCTTTGTTGTTTTGGGGTCATTGCTAAGAAGAGAAGCAGACAGAAAAGTTGTACTTCATTCTACACCAGGACATTGTCAGCCATCAACATCTTTCTCTGTTTTCCAAGTAGGAAAGTATAGGGAATTTATAAGAGATTCACTTGATAACTTACTAAAGTGTCTTTGGGGAAATAAAGAATGCTTTCAAGAAATGATACAATAGTTTTAAACATTCACTTAACACATTTTTGAGTATGTACTGTGTACCAAGCCTTGGACACTGCTCTGGATATAGAGAAAAGGCAGTTCTGTTTTCAGAAAGCTTACTTCCTGGGCGAAGAGAAGAATTAGTACAGTGTGGCAGGTTCTATGATAAAGGTAAGCCTAGAATGCACAGGGGAGCCATGTGCAGGAGGGGAAGAAGAGGAGAGATTCAAGGAATTTTTTTCTGGAGGAGATGATACCTGTGCTAAAGATGAGTGGTAGTAACCAGGCAAAGGAAGAGAACTTTGTAAAATACTATGTTTTGTTACAGATTTACAGAGCAAATTTGTGGCCAAAGAAAATGAAGTACAGAGTCTGCATAGTAAGCTCACAGATACCTTGGTATCAAAACAACAGTTGGAGCAAAGACTAATGCAGTTAATGGAATCAGAGCAAAAAAGGGTGACCAAAGAAGAGTCTTTACAAATGCAAGTTCAGGTATCTAATTCTCTCTCTTTTTAAAAAATAAAGGTAGGCAGTGGCTGGATGTGTCTCTGTAGAAGAGAGCGGATAGTCTACCTTATCCTAATTGTGTAGTGGTGATGAATAATTATAACTTAATTTTTGAGCAGTTGTTACAGTATGGTGTGTTTGAATATGTGCTTAAAGATGTCCTCACAGTCTTAAATTCTTTGTGTTAGATTAGGGGCAACACAACTTATTCTTAATTTTTACCTTCTACAACAACTCTCAAAATAGTCCTTAGTCATTGCTGTTTAAATTATGGCTTTGGAATCTAAGAAGGCCTTTTTAAAGATAAACAAGTTTGTACCTCATTTTGTTCATGTACATTGGTATATTTGTTAACAGCACACTTTTCCCCCCTCTCCTTTTTGGTTGTTACTTATGAAAGGATATTTTGGAGCAGAACGAGGCTTTGAAAGCTCAAATTCAACAATTCCATTCCCAGATAGCAGCCCAGGTAATTGTGCTTTCATATTGCTTGTCATTTCTAATGTATATTATAATAATATAATATGAAATATATATAATTTAATAATGACATTATATAATAAATAATATGATTTTTAGCCATTAAATTAATCACCTGAATGCCTGTTGAGTGCCAAGCACTGGATTAGTAGTTGGGAAACTAGTCCATGAATATACAGTGATGATTCTGATAGCTAAGCACTCTGATAATTATGTATAGTGCTGTGGGAAAACACCAAGAAAAAAAGCCAAATCCAACTAATGGAGAGTTTCTACCATAGAAGGAAGAAATGTGCATAGTCTTGACACAGAACAGAAGAAATGGCCAAATGGTGTTAGGAATAGTGGTTTATGTATTAAAAATGCTTACTAAATACTGACTAACCATAAGGGAAAACTTTATATACACTCAGGTGGTAGCAGTATGTTAATAATGTAATGCTATATGTTAATACATAATCTCAGATTATGTAGGCAAAAAGATCATTTTAAAACTTCTGTTCAGTGAGTGGGGATACCTTCCAGAGTTTTGCAGGTTGTATTGTTAGACTTGTTATTCTTTGGCAACATTGCTTTGTAACATAGATATAAAGTGTATATATCTATAATACAACATTAAGAAAAAAGAAAAAAAAACTTGTAAGTACTTATTTCTGTGATATACATACTGTTCATTTCAATTTCAGCTCCTCAACTTTAAAATTCTAAAAATTGTAGAAAAAGTACTAGCTTTTTCTATGTTAAAAAGTAATTTTAACATTAAAAACTTGTTTTTGAGGTTCAGGCAATTTCAAACTCCCGAAACTATGAGATTGCACATACTTTTTTCTAGTTGTTTTCTTTGTAGAAACTATAGTCTAAAATGAATTGGGTAAGAATTTTTTACTATAGAAGAGTCTGTTTATATGTCAGTGTACATATATATATAAATTATCAACTCCAAGTGAATTGAAATATTAAGTTAGCTGAGAAGGTAGCTCTAGAAAATTTACCAGGAATTAAATACTTAGAGAATGCTATAAGTATGTTTTTGAAAAGTAAAGATGAGCATGGTTATTACCAAATGCCTTAATTGTTATCTTAACTATGAACTGTATCATTTTATTATTGGAAGTTGTTACTAAGATAAAGATGAAACATGGCCTTTGTAGGTGTTTTTCCTGTATATTTGGTACTTGTCAGTTATATAATTTCCAGGCCTGGCAATTTGTTTTCATTTGAACTGTCTTATGCTATGTAATTCCCTAATACTGGTTGTTGGTGATCAAAGTTGCTTTCAGAATAATAGCTACTATTTACTGAACACTCATCATGGGCCAGATACTGCCTTGACAACTTGATATACATTAATTTCTTTTAATTTTTAAAGCTCTGTTTGATTATTGTACAACTTCTAGACTTCTTAAATGCTTTTATGTTGACACTGTTTTTTTTTTCTTAGACCTCCGCTTCAGTTCTAGCAGAAGAGTTACATAAAGTGTAAGCCTGCCTTTCTACACTTCTCTTATAATTGCTTAGTCACCACTAAATGATACCTGTTCCATCAACACTTATGATTTACTTTATATTCTGACTTGTTCAGAAAATACTCTTAACTAGATCTGGAGCAATTTTTGCTCTCCTCCCTCCCTCAGTGAGTTGAGTTCCTAAACATTGCACATTTTGTGTTTTTATGCCTTCATCATAAAAAGAGTTGGGGAGCCTTTTTGTATTGGGAAGAGAGAATTGTGGTTTGAGATTAATGGAAGTAAGTCAGTTTTTGTGCCTAGTAAGTAGTTTTACCTATTCTGTATTTCAACTGTATGGTGGTATACCCAAAACAAGGTTGTGTTTTTAGTATATTTTTTAATTTGCATAGACAGGGCTCACTTGAGTTCAGAAGACCTAAAGTCTGGCTTTGGCATTACCAGGTTTGCGAGCTTAAAATAATTACTTCTTTTTACCTCAAGTTTTAAAAAAGGGGTATGTATCTTAGGGAGTTGTAGTAATGTATGTGATAGATATTACTAAACTAAAAGGAGCTACAGAAATGGAGGGTGCAGATGCATGAGAAACTACTTAAGTAAGCATGAGCATATTTAAGGCTTTTAATCCTTTGATTTGTGACTAGACTTCAAAATGTTTATATGTAAAAATGTATTTCCTGTTAAAGGATTGCTGAAAAGGATAAGCAGATAAAACAGACTGAAGATTCTTTAGCAAATGAACATGATCATTTAACAAGTAAAGAGGAAGAACTTAAGGTACAGTAATCCTGATAAATGGCAACAGTATTTTATAAGCATTGAATTACCCTGATATGGTAATCAGTATGACCATCTATGAAGAATGGAAAATACTCTAAAGTCATTTGAAAAGTGTCTACTCTTTATTAAACTACAAAATCCTCTTTAGCCTTCCAAGAGGAGAAGTTCAGAGGGCTTTTCTCACATGATGTAATTCACAGTAATTTGGGAAATATGCTAAATAACAGGAATTGATGATTTCCTTTTCCTATTTAAGAAATTGTGATTTGAGGCCTTTGCTTTGAGACCTTTACTTAGGTAGAAGAGATGCTTTACCAATTTTAAAGTCAGTTATGTTAAATATTTTTAATATTTCCTTCTTATTCTAGGATATACAGAATATGAATTTCTTATTAAAAGCCGAAGTGCAGAAGTTACAGGCCCTGGCAAATGAACAGGTAGATCTTTATTGCTGTTGAGTATTTACTTCAGAATTTGACCTTGTCTATACTTACTATTGCAAGCCCTAATTTCATTCATATACATAGTAAATATAATGGTTACTTGTGTTTGGCTGCATGGCATATTGTTGAAAGCCTCTTCTATTTGACCGTGACACTCAAAACCCACCTACATAGTACTATTTTCATGTTGAAACTCATGTTTGATCAAATGAATTGATCACATTTAAGATCTCAGAAGAATCCATGAAAACATTGTTAATGTGCTGATTTGTTTTAGCTTTCTGCTATTTAATCAAAAAAGGATATACTTTTATTTGGATAAAATTTGACCAGTGAGAAGTCCAAAATACTGGACAGCAAAATGTATTACAGAAATGTGTAGATATTGCTTTAACTTTTACTTCAAATATATGGAAATACAGCTTTTTGGTATATAAAAATAAGGGAAAGAATAGTTTGGAGTGCTTCCTAAGAAATGGTTTAATTCTCATCCCATTCCAAACACAGGCTGCTGCTGCACATGAACTGGAAAAGATGCAAAAAAGGTGAGTAAAGCGTTGCTGTACATGGAGCCATTCGTACATTTATATTCAAGTATAATTGCAGAAGTTATTGGTACTCATAACTGATAGTTGTGCATATAATTTATGTAAACCTTTGAATGTATGAATTATTTTGATTGATTTTTTTTTCTCAGTATTCATGTTAAGGATGATCAAATAAGATTGCTTGAAGAACAGCTGCAGTGTGAAATTTCAAACAAAATGGAAGACTTTAAGGTTTGTGATTAAGCTTGTCAACTGAGCTTAGAACAACCTTCTATAGTTTTCAGTTGAAGTGAGTCTAGAAATACTAGTTTTTTATATGAAATCACCCTGAAGCAATGTTTCTATAGTTTATTTGGGCTTATACAGACAGTGAATGTTATCATACACTTTTTGCCTAGATTATCTTATCTGTTCTTATAATAGACTTTTGATATTTGTTTTGCTTCAGTCTTTGCTGTAGTTTCCAGTTGGTAGTTTGTGATGGTTTTAACTGCCTCCATTGTCGGTGCAGTGCTAGCTTGTGGCCACGGCCGCTCAGCTTGAGTATTGGAAAGCAGTCTTATTGCTGGGGTGCCTCATCATGTGTATGAGACTTGCATTCTTCTTCTTCCTTTTTTTTTGCTTTTATTTAATAAGAATCCTGTAAATATTCACTTAAGAAAGGAGAATTTCCCGGAATCCATTGGCACAAGTGGTTTCAGTTCTTTGAAATACATGTGAAACACTGTTTTGGGATAAAGCACATGACTGAATTGGGGGGCTTAGTCGAAACTTGTTTTAGAGGTCATTGTACATGTAGTTTATACTAGTACTGTATTTCTATATTTTGGAAATATATTCACTGAAAATGAAAAATGAAACCACATGAGATTTGCATTGTTATATCAGTATATAATTCACCTGTCACTTTAAGAATACTTGAAGGGATAATATGGGTTTGAATTGGGGGGAATTGATTTTTTTTAACCTATTCAAATGATTGCTTTGTTATCTTTTCTTAATAAAACAGTAAATTGAGATTTCTTTTTTCAGATTCTAAATGACCAAAACAAAGCATTACAATTAGAAGTTCAGAAGCTACAAACTCTTGTTTCTGAACAGGTAAGGCTTTTCTTGAATTACAAGGCAGAAATATCTAATATTAAAAAGATCTGGTTCTTCTTAAATATTAACCAACTCGTTCATTTTGAGGAGTTTTGCTCAAGTATGGATGTATCTTTTCATTGCATTTCTGTTCATCTTGTGCTTATCAAGTGTCTAAGGAAAATATTTTTTCTTCCCTGAGGGGAAGCTAATGCTCACTTCCTTTTTATAAGCACTTAAAAAAAAGTGCAATAGAATACATAAAAAGCATTTAAGTCATTTTGATACATTTGGCTCTCAGGATAAAAATCTTTCACTTTTGGAGCCTTTTTTCTAAGGCAACATGGTTTCTTAAAAAAGAGTGGGTTTGAAACCTGCTACCAGCACTTAAAAGCGTAGTGATGTTGATCAAATTGCTTAACCTTTCTGAGACCTTTCATTCCAAATCTTTCACACTGAGATTTTATTTACATCATAAGCTTGTTAGATTTAAATGGGGAAGTTTATGTGTAGTGCTTAGCCTGGTGATTGGCATTAAGCAGGCATCTTAAACCTTAATTGCTTTCCCTTGGAATATTTATTTTTTCATCTCCTCTCTACCTCCTGCTGTCATCAGACTCTTCTATATTTATAGCAAGCCATCAAAACTATAGCAGCCTTAGTAAGCATGGCTTCATAAACTAGAGCCCCAGGCAGTGTCCATCCTATGGCTGTTCCTAAGAGTTGACTTCAGACTTTTCTCCTACAGAGCTCTTCAGATTGCAGTGTTTAAAAATATTCTAGAAACTCTTGATATTAGATGACACATTAAAATAGAAGCTTTGAATGTTTTTCTAATAGTGTTAAATTTGGGAGCTTGTATTAGAAACTGAAATGTAAGTTACTGCAAATGATAGCACTTCCTTTCACAGATGCATGCTTTCTTTTTTATTTTAAAATTCACATTGTGCAGGTATTGAATTAGTGTAAAGTAGCTGTGCCAAATACTGTGGAAGTATTTGTTAACATCTGTTTAAGAAATAATCTACTTATTCTCCTCCCCCTCTTGAATATGTTAGTAAGTGCCTTGAGTATTCTTTATCACTTTGTATATAGTTTACCCTTGCAAACAAAAGGCAGTAGAGGAGATAATGGTAAACTGATGATATTTAGTGCAGTGCAGGGACATGACTTCATGCCACTGTAATCCTAAAATAATTTTTTAAGTCTTATTCTTAAATCTTATTCTTGTTTCTCATTGTTTTGGTGTAGCTTATAAAATACATTTCATCAATTGTAAGAATTCTTCCCCTCAATTTATCATCTCTGAAGTCTGGCTGTATCTTACAGTCTCTGGTTACAGTTTAGCTGGCAGCGTTTAAAATTTTAGTAGCTACATAAAATACCAGGTGTGAGATGCAACATTAATGACTTGGAAGAGGTAAAATGTGATTGATGATTTTTGGTTGTTTTACTTCTTACCCAAAAAAGCAGAATGTTGAGTTGTGAGTTGGTTATAGAGATTCTGGAACACTTATTTCAGTGTATAAGGTTTTAAATACTTCCTTAAATTAACTTCACGGGAGGTAAAACAAATGCCTAGAAATGTATGACTCTGTCCTGGAATTCCACTATTAAAGGTGCTGGTAACTATTACATGTAAAAAAAAAACAGGAATCTTTACAAATCTTTTAACTTTTAGAATCTTTTAATCTTTTAGTTCTGTACTAAAAATGTATTCTCCATCATTAGACAAGAACAAAACCACTAGCCTTATATTTTTCTTTTCCTTAAAGAGAATATGATGACTTAAGAATTGCCATTCTAATATCTTACGTAAAATTCCCCGTATGTGTGGAAGTTAATATTAAAAAAGAAAACCCCCTAATTTCTACCTTAACTGAATCAGCCTTCTATCTACTACTAAGGTTTCCATGTACTTTTAGATATTCTGTTAAAATAACAACTTTTTTCATGAGATAGGTTTTGTTTTAATGAAGAATAGTTTTAGGAAGTTAAATGAACAGTCCACAAAACAAAATTTTATAGCCACATTTTTAAAATTTATTTCAAAGAATTTGATTAGGGAAAACTTACTTTGTGGTACTAATTTAAGATTTGCTCTTTGGTAATTCTTAGAATTTTTCTTGTTCTTAAAGCTCTCTCTTTTAAAAATAGTTTAGAAAGCATGTAACTATGATGGTGTATTTTGGTTATAGTTGTGACTTAGCTCTCAGCAGACCAAAGAACCATCTCTTTGGCTTCTTCTCTGGTCATTTTTATTGCTATCACTAGTGAAAGAAGAGATGAAGATTAGTATAATCTTAATTTCTTCGATTTCCACCTTTCTTTAACCCCTTCCTATCCAGCAGTCAGAATTCTAAGTGACAGTTGAGAGATAAACAGTTTAGTTACATAAAAAAAAAAAAAAAATCAGTCTTTTTGCTCCATGGATTTTTATCTGGGAGGAAAAGATTGAGCTTATTGAATCAGAAATCAGTGATGGTGCCAAGTTGTTGTTTCTTTAGGTGTAGGAGGCAGAAAGACAACAAATACCAGGTAAGATAACCTGTTTAGACATTAAAGAAGGGAAGGCTCCATGTGGATATAAGCCTGTATGATAATCCCAGTGATGCAAATAAATCAGTTACTAGGATCTCATTTATTCAAAATAAAATAAAACTTCTGGGGAGGCAGGGTTCTGAGTTATCCTTTTTTTTTTTTTTGTAGCAAAGGAGCAGCATTTTTATTCTTTAGTAGATTTTTATTAAGTAAAAACTATAGGAGTAGGAAATTTTTTCTCTTTGCCCTGTTGCCTGTTTGTGTTTTATTGCAAAAGAATTTATTATTTATTTATTATTGTATAAAATGTAGTTTTGGAAATCATCTGGGGAGAACAAAATTGGATTGGGTTAGGCCAATAATATATAAAGTAAAAAGGTTGTATGGATGCTAAGCTGGTCACTTTTTCTGCAATTGAATATTTGATAAGGTGATGAGCAACAGTACATGTTAAACTGTAACTTTGTTAAAGGAAATTAATTTCATTACATGTTTACATGTTTATGAATTGAGTATATGCTAGATGTTGTGCTCCATGCTGAAGCTACAGAGATGAATGAGACTTGGTTCCTGCCTTCAGGAATATGGCTTTTAGTGTGGAGATAGATACGTAATACAGAAAAGTATGATGAATAAAATTTTTGAACTGTGGTACAGGGTTAGAGGAAGAGATAATGAATTCTATCTGAAGGACAGTGAGGGTGAAGAGGTACCACAGAGAAGGGCCTGCCAAACTTGCCCAACAGCTAAAGGGAAATCCAGGCTGAGGGAATACAGTGTTAAAAGTCATGGCGGTGTGTGGCCAAAATGGTGTATTCAGAGTTAACTGGCATGTTGTAGAAGTGCAAAGTATGCAGTGTAAGGAGTAGAGAAAGATTGGCTAAGGCCTGATTATGAAGGACTTTTGTATGCTGTGTACGGACCATGAACTTGATTTAGCATGTTGGTAAATCCCTGAAAGATATTGCAAGGATGAATAAGTATTTTGTCAGCATTTTAGATCACTCTGATAATAATGAGGTATTTGAATTTGTGTGGGGGAGAAGTGTGTAGGACTAAAGGTATAATACAATAAGTGATTAAGGTGCAGATAACTTGGACTTAATAGTGTTGTCTTTTTTTAATTGAGATGTAATTGACATAAAACATTAGTTTGAGATGGGCTTATGTGTAGATAATGTGAAATGATCACAACAATAAGTCTGGTTAATAGTAAACATTCATCACCATACACAGTCACAAATTTTTTGTTAAATCTTTTTTTTTTTTTAAGAGACAGTGTGTGTGTTAGCTGGGTGGGAGTGGGGAGAGGTGGTGGGGGAGGGGCAGAGGGAGAGGGAGAATCCCAAGCAGGCTCCCCACCCAGCGTGAAGCCGCGATGCAGGGCTCAATCTCTCGACCGAGATCATGATCTCCTCTGGAATCAGGAGTCCAGTGCTTAACTGACTGAGCCACCCAACTGCACCTGTTCAATCTTATATGAGATGGCCATCATCAAAAATAAAGATGGACAAAAACCCATCTTGGTGAAAGATTTGTAAACTTGTTGCATGATTTATTTTCATAGTTTATAAACCTGACTTAATATACTTTTGACAGCTCCGTCTCCTTTCTGGTGATAGGGAAATTTTTCCCATTGGGAAGTTCTTCCTGTATCCCTCACAAAATATTCCTTATAGGCAGCAGGCAGAGAGAAGAATAGTGCAGTACTGTGATATTTGAGATGAATGAAGCCGAGGGCCTAACCTAAGGCATTGAAGAAAAGGGGGTTAATTTTGGAAATATGTAAGAAGTGGAGTCTTAGGACTTGGATTTGGCAATGGAAAAATTAATAGTATTTGTGAAAATGGTTATAATAAAATTGGGGGAAAAGTAAGAAACTAGCAAAATTAGAGTACAGGTAGGGAATGGGATGGGCAGAAAAAATGTTCAAAGCAAAACACCCGAAGTCTGTTTTGGTAGGCTGCTTAGCTGCCCGAAGGCTTGGGAATGCTAAGGAGGAAGCCCCTCTTCTGGATACAAAATAAATTATAGCAGTGGGGACTTTTGTGTTTCTGGGGAGATGCTAGAAGGGAAGTGGTTAAAAGTGGGGGTCAGCTTACATGTCATGTTTTAATGCCTTACAAAGAGAATATATTCATGTGTTGCTCCTGCAATTTATAATCAATTTTAAAACATTCTATATATTGGTCTAGGTGGTAGTCACATAATATCTACATGTTAAAAATTAATTGATTTGTATACAGGAGTTTTGTACTTGCCCATATAAATATTACACCTTAGTTTTTAAAAAGTCAAAAAATCAATTTAGAAGAAGAAAGAACAAAGTCTCCTTCCTCATCTTCAAGGCTTTAGAGCCTTGGATTTTTCATATTTGAAGAACAGAATTGACATAGAATTAAGGCAAATTTTCTTCTTTATTCTTTTTTTTTTTTTTTTTTAAAGATTTTATTTATTTGACAGAGAGAGAGCGAGAGCGAGAGCAGGAACACAAGCAGGGGGAGTGGGAGAGGGAGAAGCAGGCTTCCCGCCGAGCAGGGAGCCCGATGTGGGACTCGATCCCAGGACCCTGGGATCATGACCTGAGCCGAAGGCAGACGCTTAACGACTGAGCCACCCAGGCGCCCTCTCTTCTTTATTCTTTATTTTTTTTTTTTTTTTAGATTTTTTATTTATTTATTTGACAGAGAGAGCGAGAGAGCACAAGCAGGGGCAACAGCAGAGGGAGAGGGAGAAGCAGGCTTCCCGCCAAGCAGGGAGCCTGATGCGGGGCTCGATCCCAGGACCCTGGGATCATGACCTGAGCCGAAGGCAGAAGCTTAACCATCTGAGCAACCCAGGCGCCCCTCTTCTTTATTCTTAAGATTTTCTTTTATGGCAATTAAAAACTAACTCATTTTGCTAGCTCATAGTATACTTTATCTTTTTCTGTGTCTTTTGTGTAGCTGCTTCTCTTCTGTCTTGTGTTTTCTGGATTAAATAATTCTTTAATTATTAGCAGTCTTCAAGTGTAGATCACCTTCCTAAATTTTGGATCTAATTTAAACAATTTTCATAGAATTATATTTTTAAACTAGTTTTGCCTCATGCAAACTTAGTAAAATTAAACTTTTTCCTTTTTTTGGGTGATTTTTATTTTAGCCTAATAAAGATGTTGTGGAACAAATGGAAAAATGGTAAGAGTTTAAGTTTTTCTTATTATATTTTAATGACTCATTTCTACCAAATTTGAGGTAACAGAATTATTAACTATATTAACCTAGATTCTTAAAGTGCTCTTTGTACTTCATAATGGAAGAAGGTGGTATGCTGTTGATTGGTTTGATTTGGGATTACATTAGGTTTGTGGTGTTGGTGTGGCAATGATTTTATTTATTTAGGCTAGCCTAAATAAGCATGTATTACTTGAACACATTTTACTTATTGGTAAAGAAGTACATTTAGACCATGATCAAAGATCCTCAGAAACCTTCCTAGAATTAAGTTTATAAGAAATGAGGGACACAGGAGTTGATTGATAGAAAATATTTAGCAGTGATAGCATTTACCTTGAAAAATAGTTAATATGTTTTAAATTTATGATTTCAGTATTCAAGAAAAAGATGAGAAGTTGAAGACTGTAGAAGAACTACTTGAAACTGGACTTATTCAAGTGGCCACAAAAGAGGAGGAACTGAATGTAAAACATTTTTGTACATTTGTTTTCCTTGTGGTTTGTCAGTGAACATGAAGGGGATTACTGTAATTTAAGATTTTTCCCATAACTTTTAAAACTTAATATTATTTATCCACATTTAATGAATATATGATACCCTTTTTCCATTAAATTTAACATTTTATTAGGAATACAAAAATGCATAGTTGATTGTAGCATTCACTATCTTAATGAAATAGACACTTTTTTTTTGGTTTGTAATTTATGCTTCCACACCTCCACCATGCCCAAATGATAACTAACAGACTTCATAAGTTCATGAAATAGTATTGGAGGCCAGGGAAAGGAGAGACTCCAGTTTTGTTTTGTGATTATCATTAGTCCTAACTAACTTGATTAGGACAGGGTTGCTGGAAGAAATGTTTAAAGATGTATTTGAGTTTAGGGGGAGAAATGACTTTACAAGTGGTATACTGTGTGCTCTTGAGGTTGTGGAAACATAAGTAGAAATACTTGTGGGGATAAATGAATTAAATGGCTATCTCCAGAAGTTACAGAATTGTAGACATGTGACAAGGGCCTTCCAGAGAGGGAAAGAAGCAGCTAAAGAAAAATGAGAAATTAGGATATTTTGAAGATAGCTAATTTTTTAGAAAGTAAAAGTGTGTTACGCTTCTGTATCTTTGAAAAAGGCATTAAGAACAGAAAATTCATCTCTGACGAAAGAAGTTCAAGACTTAAAGGCTAAGCAAAATGATCAGGTAATGTATTCAGTAGATCCTGCAACTGTTCTCTTTTAAACAATGCACAGACCTGTTATGTTCATATAGAGCAGGTCTGTTGTTTATTCCTCCTTTCACCAGTGTGGAATTTGTCAATCATAGTTTTAATCTGTGAATGATTAGGGACTTGATTAACAGTACTAGAAGCTGCAATTTATTGAATAATAGCTGTATGCCAGGCCCTGGGTAGAGTACTTTAGATAGGATGTCATTGCTACTTACTGAAGTGACAAAAGTTTTGAGTGTACAAATATAAAGAAAGACTCTAAATAGCAGTAGAAGAAGCTGTCTGAAATAGGCAATTTCCTAGTTGTATTTTCTTCTTATCTGGTTAGAATTTTTAATTGTAACATGTATCTGTTGATTTTTCTTTTGGCCTACACTTAACCATCAGTAGCCTTAAAGCTACTTTCAGAGTGCTTTTAATTTTCATAATTATAACATTAAAAAAAAAAACCTAGAAAGAATCAATTCCTGGGTTTACTGTTCTCATTTGGATTTTGGTATAGTGGAAAACTTAAGGATAATATACTTTTCTATTTCTGAATTCATTTATATTTTGAGCAAATTACTAAGTAGGATACTTTCCTATTTCCAGGTTTCTTTTGCATCTCTAGTTGAAGAACTTAAGAAAGTGTAAGTGATGACATTTTTAAACTGGTCTTTCTCTTTTGGTCCATTGTCTTAGTGCTCATAAATCTTGTTTTGTGCAATTTAAACAGCTGTATGTTAGTTTAACCTTCACTCTAGAATTTTTTACTGATGGATTAAGGGAATTTAGCTGTGCTTTCCTTTTTTTTTTTTTTTTAAAGATTTTATTTATTTTTTAGAGAGCGAGCGAGAGAGAAAGAGCATGAGAGGGGAGAGGGTCAGAGGGAGAAGCAGGCTCCCCAGGGATCATGACCTGAGCCGAAGGCAGACGCTTAACCATCTGAGCCACCCAGGCGCCCTAGCTGTGCTTTCCTAGTGCAGTGTGATTGCTAAAACATCTATTTCTATAATTGATTCCATTCATTTTCTTAACTTATGGCATCAAATTGTTAATTTTCTGTTTCTGCAGTAAGAACTATTAAAAAAAACAACTAGGTTATACTGGATATAGAGAGCATGTATCCTCTTCTTGAACACTGTAAATTTGATGCCATATTGTGTATACGTTCTGCCACTGCTTTCAGAACTCTGGAAGCCAGTATTATTGAGAGAAACTTGATTCTTCCCAGTGTTCTTCAGGGTGCAAGTCTTATTAACATTCTCTGTGCACTTTCAAAGCAGGTCACCTGCTTCTCTTTGTGTGTATCAGCTTTAGCCATCTGGTATTTACTGATTAATTCTCATTTAGGAATACTCCCCCCCCCTTTTTTTAAAGAGGGGGTGGGCAGGGGCAAAGGGAGAGAGAGGGAGAATCTTAAGCAGCCTCCACACTTAGTGCTGAGCCTGACGCTGGGCTTGATCTCAGCACACTGAGATCATGACCCAAGCGAAAATGGAGAGTGGTATGTATGCTTAACCGACTGAGCCACCCAGGCACCCCTCTAGGAAGACTTCAAGTATTTTTTCCCTTCTTATCTGCAAGATACGTTGCCGTTTTACTTAAAATGGGAAGAGTTGATTTGGATGACCCCTGTTGGTGCTGTTTTTTTATGTCTTGGTGGATCTTGATGATTTCTATTAAAGTTCAGTACTGCATTTCTTCATCTAAGGATTCATGAAAAGGATGGAAAGATCAAGTCTGTGGAAGAGCTTCTGGAAGCAGAAGTTCTCAAAGTTGCTAATAAGGAGAAAACTATTCAGGTATTGGGAGAGAGAAAACTGTGTGTTGGGGTTTTTTTTTTTTCTTTTTTGTTTATCAACTTTAGTGAATATCATTTAATTTCATGTGTTTGTCTGTACATTGCATTTTATGTCAATTTCTGTGTTTCCATTGTCCAATCTTGTCTGTTTTGTCATTGTCAAGGATTTGAAACAGGAAATAGAGGCTCTAAAAGAAGAAATAGGAAATACCCAGCTTGAAAAGGCTCAACAGGTAAAAATCCCAGAGCCATAGCATGACAGATTTCTTAGTGTATGTGTATTTATGAGCTATTTGGTTTTTTCTTGGTACTCAGAAAAAACTTTTAGTAGTATGCTGTAAGTATTTTGGGTTATGTACTTTTATTTATTTATTTATTTATTTATTTATTTATTTATTTATGCTTGATTTGAGAAAGTGTTCTTGATATTTTATTCAATATATTTTTTTACTTTTAAAGATTCTTTTCTAGAAAGTTTTCTGTATTAATGTTTCATTTTAGTTTGCCAACTTAAACAAAACAGTTTGGTAAATCTTTTTTAACCTTTTTTTTTTAATTGCATGGATTAAAATGTTTTGTTATAGAATATGTATTGCTCAACCTTTGTTTAGAGAACAAAGTACAAAGTTTGTTGGGGGATTTCAGAGGTAGCTGAGATTACTGGACATAGATGGGTTTTGGTGAATTTAATCTGATAAAAGCTTCACTGAAAAAGGAGTGAGATTGCATGGAAGTGAGGATTCATCCATTCATCCAACAGAGTTATTCAACAGTATTTCCTGAGTTGTTCTACTTGTGAAAGCACTGTGTTAATGATTTAAGATCATGTGTTGAAAGAAACAGGGTATGATAAAAAGATCACAGTTCTCTAATATAGACTGAGAGGTTAGGAAAATCTCTTGAGGAACTGACATTTAAGCCAAAATCTGAAGGAACTATGAGAAGACAGTGGGGGATAAAAGTTGCTGTTGAATTACTGTGTATGATTTAATAAAAAAAAAAAAAAAAAAAAGGGAGCACAATGTTGAGTACTGTTGAGTAGATAGATGGCTTTGAAGACTGGAAAGAAGAGCTCTGATACAGTAGAGAGGTATATGTACAGTTAATACTCTAATTTTCACAACTTTAGAATTACCACATGATTTAGACTTACTCATATTTTTATTTTGTTACTCTTACTGTCATTTGAATCAAGAGAAGGCAAAATCCAAACACCTCTCATTTCGGCATGAATAATTCAGCTAGGATCTTTGTAATTTGAAGTGTACACATTTTAAAGTTTATCATAAAACTAAAGGTCAATTGAATGAATTATAAATTGCTTTTTTTCTTTGTATTTCAGTTATCTATTACTTCTCAAATTCAGGAGCTTCAGAACTTGTAAGTACCATTTCTCTCATTTCCCTTTAATATCTTTTTTCCACAAGTTAAATACAAGTATGTACAAGTCAAATACAAATCAAATACAGTTATAATGAAAATCATAGCTTCTTTTTATTTAATTTCAAGTAGTATTTTTAGGAATATGAAATTATATCTCAAAAAGTTATGGTTTTAAGTTTTTCATTAGGATTTAACTTAAGCTTTTTGATGGGAATGGGGATAGAGTGGAAAGTCTTATTTTTCATAATTTATAATCTGAATATGACCTCAGACTGAGATGTTGCTCTTTGCCCATTTTAATAGCCACTGTGAAACTGACTATATATTTCATAGCCAAACCAGAGGTAATAAGCTATCTAAATTTGCTGGTATTGATTTAAACAGGATGATATGGGGTGAGAGTAGGGCTACCCTAATTTATTCAATGTCTGGATCTGCAGGGATAGATGGAACTTTTTTCTTTAATCATCCTATACCTTTTTTTTTTTTTTTAAGATTTTATTTGAGAAAGAGCACAGAGAGAAAGAGAGAAAACACAAGATGAGCAGGGGGAGGGGCAGAGGAAGAGAGAGAAGCAGGCTCCCGGTGGGGCTAGATCCCAGGACCCTGGGATCATGACCTGAGCTGAAGGCAGGCGCTTATCTGACTGAGCCACCCAGGCACCCTAATCGTCCTATACTTCTTAATTTATTTATTATCTGCAAAATCTTGTATGCTTTTATACTTAAAATACTTGTTTTTTAGTTTATTTTCTGTCAGTTTGGGCTGTAAGTACAACCTAAAATCTACTTCTCCAGTCGCCAGTAATTTTGTTTTGTATAGTTCTGTAATATTTTCACTGATAGTTCTTACTAACTTATTTTCAGATTAAAAGGAAAGGAGGAACAGTTGAATACCATGAAGACTGTTTTAGAAGAGAAGGAGAAAGACCTAGCTAATCGAGGGAAATGGTTACAGGTGAGAAGTTAAAAACAAAAGTAAACACCTTTTTTATACTTGAATATCAATTCCATTCATACCAATTCTTTTTCAGGATCTTCAAGAAGAAAACAAATCTTTAAAAGCTCATGTTCAGGAGGTAGCACAGCGTAACTTGAAAGAGGTATAGTATAAACAGATTACCAGACCAAATGAGGGGTCTCTTTTTTACCATGCTAGAAAATAAAGAAGTTAGTATCTTCTCTGAGTTTACTTGCCATAAAAATTATTGTACCATAGTTGTGTTGTTGATAAAATAAGTTAAATTTTATCTTTGTCAAGTCTTTTGCCTGATTTGTCAACCTAAGCCTAAAAGCATTTCCTGTCCTTTTTGAGATTGACTCTTAAGTATGTGTTTAATTGGTATATTAATCTGTAATCCTTTAAGAAATGGATATAAAAAATAGTTAAATAAAGTTCATTCTATCTTTGTTTTATAAATGGCCTAATTTTAACATATAATTATGTTTTTATTTATTTTTGTTTTTATTTTATTGGTGTTTTGTATATAGAATACGTACTTTGTAGTACCTGATCTTTTTGATGTTAGAATTAAAAATATGAATCTGTTTCTTAGGCATGTTCTGCATCACGATTTGAAGAACTTGAGACTGTGTAAGTATAATTTTAGCTAGCATTTTAAAGAGGAACTTCTCATTATTTTGCAGAATGTACTTGAATATCATGATGAGTTTCTTTTTAGTCATTTCTTGTTAAATTAGGAATTAAAGTCCAGAGGCAAATAAGCTAATAAGTCTCTTTTGGTATAATAAAACAGAGTCTCTTTCAGTGCTTTCAGATACCTGGGGACTTTATCCTTTCCAAGCCCTTCAAACCCATCAACCAGAAGATAATCATAGTTAAAACCTTGATGAAGATTATTGAATCTCTAAGAAAGTAACTTGATTATTGAGGAGAGTAATATCTGTTGTCATACCAGTTACTGTGCTAAAGAGTAAAAATATTGAGTCTGATCAGCATAGGAGGTATCGGTCTTAATAGATGTTCATCCTAGAAAATTTTTGTCTTAAAAAGTCTGTTCTCTTAATTTAAGCTAACTAAATCCGTTCACAGTGGTGAGAAGGATACCTGGACTTCATCTATTTGGCATGCTATAGAATTATTTTTAAGAGATTCTGCTGTGATGCCATCAATCTTTATGGATGTTTAAGAAGTAGCACTTTGAAACGGGGTCTTTAAAAGTAAGACATTGAGGATATTAGGTCATTGTCTTTATGAAGACAAAGGAGATGTCTCTATTCTTGACACTAAAATTCTCATTTGTACAGCTAATTGTTTATCATGGGGGCATTGTATAATTATCAAGGTACTTTTGTTTCATTTGCTAATAGCTTAGAGACACAATTTCTGGCCCATTTGTAGTAGGTATATAATTCATTAAAGTATGTGATTTTAAATCTATTTCTGCATCACAGTTTTCTTTTTTAAAAAAGTTAATAGGGGCCCCTGGGTGGCGCAATGGATTAAGTGTCTGCCTTCAACTCAGGTCGTGACCTCAGGGTCCTGGGATGGGCCCTGTGGCAAGCTCCCTGCTCAGCAGGGAGTTGGCTTGACCCTCTCCTTCTGTCCCTCCCCGCCTGCTTGTGTGCTCTCTGTATCAAATAAATAAAATCTTTTGAAAAAAAAAAATAAAAGAATTTGGTGGGGGGAGCAATTTTAGGTTTACAGAAAATTGAGAGAAAAGTACAGAGTTCCTATTTTCCCCCACCCCCACCCTGTTTCTCTTGTTATATCTTGCATTAGTGTGGTACCTTTATTACAATTGAACCAGTGTCTAAATATTGTTAGTAACTAAAGTCTGTAGTTTCCATTAGGGTTCACTCTTCTGTGGATTTTGAGGAATGTATAAAAACATGTATCCATCATTACAGTATCATACAAAATAGTTTCACTGTCCTAAAAATCTCCTGGCTCTACCTATTAATCCCTTCCTTCTTCCAGCCGCCACCCCTACCACCCCCAATCTCTGGCTGCCACTGATCTCCATAATTACTGTCTCCATAATTTTGTCTTTTCCAGAGTGTCATATAGTTGAAGTCCTACAGAATATAGGTTTTCAGAATGGCTTCTTTCACTTAACAATATGTATTTAAGTTTTGCTGGGGTTTCCCCCCCCAACTTATGTGTGTGTGTGTGTGTATGCTTCTTTGTCATTTTTCATATAGACCTATAAACATTTTGAAGTTCTTTCTACATTAAGGTGGGATAAAAATAACTTCCAATTCAGCAAAGATACTGAGTATATCTGTTTTGTGCCCTGTGGCACAGCAATACTGAAATGGCTAATGCCCTGAGGAAATAGATAAACAGATCATTTTAATAATGTTGAGCGTTATGCTAGAGGTCTGTTTAGGATGACAAGGGCATTGCGATTCACATGAGGTAGATAAAGACTTAAATCTGTGTTGGGTAGGGAGAACTAGATTAAATTATATGTAGCATCGCTTTACAAAGGCTTGGGCATATTGTAAGTTCCTGGGTCAACTAATTATGGCTTTATTTTTTTTATTTTAGATTTTAGATTTTCTTCCTAGATAAAGCCATAGTTGCTTAAGAAATGTTAACTATGAAATAAACTGCAGCAGTTTTATGATGTATTTTGAGTTGAGTGATTCTGGAAATAATGTTTTTTTAAAACAAATTTGTAAATTGGTGTAATCTGGGAAAAAAGAGCTGTTAGACATTGTTTCTGCTATCTTTTTTTCCTTAGGGGTGATATTGAAGTCTGGTTGTCCTTTTTATGTGTATAACTAAATATAAGGTCTTTATAAAAATTCTAGGTTGAAAGAAAAGGAAAATGAAATGAAGAGAATAGAAACTATACTAAAAGAGAAGGAGAGTGATCTTTCTAGCAAAACAAAGCTGTTACAGGTGAATATATTTAGTTAAAATTAATTATTGTGTGAATTATTGTCTTTGCATATTTTAAACAATTTTAACTACCACAAAAGAAAATAGGATAGAGACTCTTTCCTCCCAGCCAGATACTGGGTCTCATTCTTCAGAAAACTATCAATTATTTGTGTATCTTTTGAGGAAAGTGCCCATTCATAAAATATGTTGTGTGTACTTGTCTTAAACACATTGTATTTAACTATATGCACGTTTGTATTTGCTTTTTCTCCCTCAATTATTAATGTTTTTTAGATCTTTCCACATAAGCACATTTCTGTCTTCAACTTTTAATGGCTTTGTGGTATTCTGTTGTAGCATCTACCATCATTTATATTAACCAATCCTGGTTTATGGATGCCTAGATTATTTAGAGTTGTGCTTCCTATTACAACAGTGAATATCCTGGTGTGTGCATTTTCAGTACTTTTGCTAGTATATCTATATTTAAAATTCCAGGAAGTGAAATTTTGGGTCAAAGTTTTATGCAGTTTCTTTTTCTTTTTGAAAAGAGGTAGTTAAAATTGAAAATCCATTATCTCCTCATCTCCATGTTGTTAATATTGAAAATACTTACAGAACATTAATTTGAAATGATAGCAAAATTTAGATGGCTGCATTGTCTCCAACCACTCTTGCTCACATTTCTGGCTCCAAGTGTTAGTTCTGTTACGTTCTCTTTCTCTGCCAAGTGGATTCATTTTTAATATTGTTAGATAATGTCAAATCACCCTCCAAAAGTGTTTTAACAAATTTACACCCGTAGAGGGCCATTTCCTTTTTATTCTCTCCCAACACTGACAAAGATGAAAACATTTGGTATTATGATTGAAAGATGGTTGGATTGTTTTAATTTGCATTGATTGTGAGAGAAGTTAAGTACTTCATTTGTCTATTAATTGGCCTTTAATTTTTCCCACATTTTTCTTACCAAATTATTTTTTTTTTTACGTAATAAGAGAAATTAACTTTTTGTCACATAAGAAGTGATTTGTTTTCTTAAATTTTTCTTATTTCATTTGTGTTTTTCCTCCCTGCTTTTGGAAGTTTGAAACTTTTATGTATTCAGATATAAGTAATTTCCTGAGAAGTCTTGGAATGAAAGGTATCTCTTACTCTATGATTATAAAAATATTTTCACATTTTGATATGTTTATAATTTGCTTTTTTGTTTGATGTCTTATTCATATGTAATTTAGTAAGTTATGAGAATAACATTTTAACCTTGAGAAAAAAAAAGGTTAGCCACATTATTAAAGAATCCATTACTGCTTTACTGCAGTGGTTTTACTGTCCAGGGAACAATGTCTGGAGACATTTGGTTGTCACAGCAGGTGGAGGGGTGCTAGTGCATATAGAGGTTGGAGGCCATCGATACTGCTAAACATGCTAGAGTGTACAGGACAGTCCTGTTAACAGAGAAATATTCAGCCCAAAATGTCACTTAGAACTTGCCCTGCTGAGCTGAAACCTTACTCTATACTATAATTCTTAGAGGTATTTGGATTTATTTCTGGATCCTGTTTTCTTCCATTGAGACATACTCCCAGATTGGTACTGAATAATTTTTTCTAATTTATTTATTTATTTGTTTATATATATTTAACATATAATGTATTATTTGTTTCAGGGGTACAGGTCTGTGATTCATCAGTCTTACACAATTCACAGCGCTCACCATAGCACATACCCTCCCCAGTGTCCATCACCCACCCACACCATCCCTCCCACCGCCCTCCACTCCAGCAACCCTCAGTTTGTTTCCTGAGATTAAGAGTCTCTTATGGTTTGTCTCCCTCTCTGGTTTCATCTTGTTTGATTTTTCCTTCCCTTCCCCTACGATCCTCTGTCTTGTTTCTCAAATTCCTCATATCAGTGAGATGATAGGATAATTGTCTTTCTCTGACTGACTTATTTTGCTTAGCATAATACTCTCTAGTTCCATCTACCTCTCGTTGCAAATGACAAGATTAATTCTAATTTTATACTGTATTTTAAAATAGGGCTTATTACTTTTAAAATGATCACTTTAAAAAAACTATTTTAGAATTTCCCTGGTTTGTATGCTATATTTCGAAAGGTTATATGGAAAATAATCTCTGTGGAGGTATTCATGTTTAATTTTTTAAATAGGAAGTACAGGATGAAAACAAATTGTTCAAATCTGAAATCGAGCAACTTAAGCAACAGAACTACCAACAGGTAGGTACTATTAGGTAGCTTGCCTTTCATTTATGTTGTAAAAAGTTATATAACCCATGACTGTAAGTATTCTTAACCATTTTGCCTTTTTATGGAGACTAAAGTATCTTGTTTTATTTGTAAGTGTTTAGAAGATGTCCTTAAAAAAAAAAAAAGCAATTTGCTATACCATATCCAAGATAAAGTAATCTATAATTTATAAGATATATGCAAATAATATTACTATCTATATTCCAGCTCTTTTATATATCTGTGTTTTCACATCCTCCAGAATGCTTTTCTTATTAGCAAGTCAGTTAAAATCCTATAGAGGTCAGTTTAAATGTAGGTGTATACCATATTTCCCACCATCCCCCCGCTCAAATTTAGTAATTGGAGAGAAACTAGGAAATGTGTAATGTTATGAATAATAGTTGACCACTATTTAAAATACTTTTTCAAGGTATAATTCTGCTTGGTAAAAATAAAATAGAAATGTGTAATTTTTTTTTTTTAAGATGTTACCAAAATACAGGTTGATTTTTCTGAACATATGTAAGCTAGAGAGTATTATGAGGGGCCAAAGAATGTGTTCTTCTCAACAAGATGATTATAGTATAGTAGTTCAGTTTGGGAGATTGTAGGCATTAAGGAATGTAAATACTGTATGTGAAGGTCTGTGTACTTACACATATTATGTAAAATTTGTTTACATGCAAGTTAACTTTTCTTAGTTTTTCTTTTGATTTCATCTTACAGTATTTTTTTGGCTTTTGGAAGCTTAATATAGTCAAATAAGAATTGTACAGTAGGATGATTTAGGGCATTAACTCAGTGCTTTACACATAGTAGGAAATTGATAAATACTTGTTAAATGAAGAGATTTTGTAGTGGCAAGGAAGATTTGACTTAGTACTCAGTACGTTTTATAAATTTATACATATTTTTATTAAAATTACTTGGTGACAGGCATACAGAATATGTAGTATTTTTACCTTTGTTAATTTATATCTGAGGAAGAGCTTAATTTTTTGTAGTCTTGTAGAAATAACTTTGTTTTGAAATTACATTTAACTCTTTTAATAGGCATCATCTTTTCCCCCACATGAAGAACTATTACAAGTGTAAGTAATAATTTTGATTCACAGTTTGAAAAGTGGTAATCGTTTTTATGTGCTAAACAGTTCTCAGATAAGAATTTAATGTAACTTCTAATGGCATCTAATTTTTCTAATTCTATATGGGTATCTTGAACTATAGGTCACTAGCATTTAGCTGTGCCCTTGGCCAAACTGCTGTACATTTTTATGGTATTTGGAGTTTGTTGAGGGAGATCTTGAGGTTTTTAGGACTTTAGAAAACATCTAATAAAGTTAAAATATATATTTAAGGCTTTACTTATTTACCTTAAATTATCTTAGTTACCCTTCTGGTGTCATTGTGGAATTGAATGATGCAAATAAGTTTCTGCTTCTGCATTAAAAAACAAATCTCATTCTTTATAGTTGCTTGCTTTTTTAAAAAGTTTTATCTTTTTTTTTTTGTTTAAGAGAGAGCTGAGAAACAGGATAGGGACAGAGGGAGAGGGAGCGGGAATCCCAAGCAGTCTCCATGTCCAGCCCCCCATGCACAATCTCACAGCCCTGAGATCGTGACCTCAGCTGAAATCAAGAGTCAGATGCTTAACTGACTGAGCCAACCAGGCGCTCCTGTGATCGCTTTCTTTTAAAGAGACTTTTCTATTTTTTGGTGCACATTTATTTATTTTAGAGAAAGCTCGAAAAGGAGGAGGGGCATAGGAGAAAAGCAGAGACTCCCTGCTGAGCAGGGAGCCTGATGCGGGTCTCGATCTCATGACCCTGAGATCATGACCGGGGCCGAAACCCAGAGTTGGATGCTTAACCGACTGAGTCACCCAGGTGCCCCTTAAGGAGACTTTTTTTTTACTGAAGCATTTTTCTTTCATTGTTGGCTTGTATTTTTCTCTAAGAGGGTATATTTAAGGTCATTTCAGCTAAGTTGGTTATGTTTGAGCATTCTAGATGTCAACCACATTAAGTGTATTAGGTGATAAAAAGTAAATATTCTTTTATCTTGACTCATTTACAAGGTTGTTGGTTTACTAGTTTAGAATTATTTACTGGTAAATTGAGTCTGGAGTTTGTACAGAGCAAAGGTCAGCAAACTTTTTCTGTAAATGGCCTGTAGTGAATATTTTAGGTTTTGTGGGCCAGAGAGTTCTGTTTTGTATCCCCCCCGCCTTTTTCTCCCCCAATTCTTTAAAAGCATAAAATCAGCTCTTGGCTCGAGGGCCAGACCAAAAAAGACTGTGGTTTGGGCCCAGAGCCCTAATTTGCCAACCTCTTATATATAGAGCCTTATTCTTAAGAGCTATTTGTAATTTAACTTTCTACCCAACCTGCTCTCAACTATAACAGAATTGAATTGTGAATCTTTGCCATTGCTTTCTGCATTTCTGGGAATTAACTAATGCATTAGAATTAGAAAAACCTGAATCCTGAGGATGTTATGAAAATGATACCTACCTCACATTAATATCATACTTTTGTTGTGGGTTAGCCATTTAAAGAAAGTCATAACTGATTTCATTACCTTTTGGGAAAAATATTGAAGGGAATGTGTCTACATCAGTTTTCACTCTTCTGAAAGTAGCTACTTCCCTGCCACAGATAAAAATAGAAACAACTATAACTGCAGCAGTTCATATATTCATGAACTGCTTCTTAAGGGGATGATTTTTCTTGAGCACAAATATCAGCATGCCATATTGTAAAAGTCATTTTTGAAAATAAGAATGCATCACAAATAGGTTTTCTATGGTGACAGTTAATAGCTAAGCTTAAAAGAGTTTGCCTTTTAAGTTAATACATTTTGCAAAGCATCATCTACTTGCTGTTTTTATTTTGTAGTAATAAATACTATGTTCACTGTTTACCTAAAATGTTGCTATGTGTATTCATGTTCTGGTTTAGAATTTCAGAAAGAGAGAAAGAAATAACTGTTCTTCAGAATGAGTTAGATTCTTTGAAGGAGGCTGTTGAACACCAGAGGAAGAAAAACAATGTAAGCAAATCTTTGTCAGAATAAAGCTTTTCTTTTTATTACTTCACTGAAATGAAGTATGCTTCATCATTTTTTAAAAATTTACTTCTACTGTAGTTTTCTTAAAGAAAGTACTATTTTGTGTGTACCTTTTTTTGGGAGGATTATTAGAGTAATTTTATTGGAGAACAGATATTTTAATGAATAAATGAAAAGACTAATTTGTATACTTCTAATTACCATTTTAGATATTGAAAGTATAATTATTACAGCTTCAGATTTTTTATTTTTTTAAAATACAACTGACTTTCTGTTGAACTTTTATTTGAAAAAATTATTTTTTCATTTCAGTATTTTAAAATCAATGGCATCTCCTTTTCATTTGACTGGGCTAGCCTTTTTGTAAATTAAAAGTAACCCAGTATTGAAACCTAGTATTTTTAGTAATTAGTTTTTTCAGAGCCTTCTGGAACCTCCTCTTTTAAACTAACAGATGGTTCAGATTTTTGGTAATTAGCGCTTAGGGGCCTCAGAACATTTATACTAGAATGGGAAGGGATAGCGCCCTAAGAAATTCAAGTCCTAATACTTTTACTGAATAGACAAATAGTGAATTTAGGTGATTTCCTCAAATTCTCTCTGACCAGAAGGTGATACCTGTAAGTAGAATCCAAACATTCTTGTTAGAGAAGGAATTTTTGCACACAAAAGTATGATTGCTAAGACTTGAGCAAGGTAAAAATGTTAGTGAAATCTCTTAAGGGTATATTGGTAGGAAATTGATACGTGTTTTCTAATGCAAGTTTAATTTTTCAAGGTTTGCATTAATTTGTTAATTTAACAAGTTGACATGTACTTGCACCCCTGAGTTTGTCAAAATTAGGTATGTGAATTGCCCTTTGTATGTTTGTGTAACATTCCTAACAGCATCGCTTGGCACAAAACCTGAGGCGAACCTGCGGACATGTTCAGTGTGTTTTATCACCCGGATTCTGAGATGAGGAGGCCACAGTGAAACGAGTCTAACGCTGCAGCACTGCTGCAGGCACTGGGGCGTGTGAGAAGAGCCAGCCGATTGCGGCGTCGGTCCATGCTAGTTCGGCCCCTACCCTGGCTGTGTATATTTGGCCACATTTCTTAACCTACTGCAGCTGTGGTTTCCCCATCTATAAAATGGGAGTAAACACCTCTTAGGGTTGTTAGGAAGATTAATGAGAATTTATGGGAAGCACCAAGTTCAGTGTTGGGGCACATAAGTCAGCATTCAGGAGATGGTGATTATTGGCTTTTTATTTGTTTTTAATCTACTCTTTAGGTTTCTAAATCTGAAGAAAGACTGAAATATAGCAGATTGTCCTTCCTGGTATTTGCTACTGAAATGCTGTTAAAATAGATCTTTCAGTTTCCCATGACTTCTGTTTCTCTTCCAAGAGAATGTGGTTTTTAGCCTTCCAGCCTCCCTGTTTTCAGCCTCGATCAAGTAGCTCATATATTCATGTCAGGTTGCTTTACGGCATACACATTTGACCATGCCGAAAGAGATGGGCAGGCACAGGGAGTGACTCTGTTATTCCTAGGTAGACTGGAAATGTGTTAATTCCATAAAACCTGTGTAGAGGAAAAAATGTTGGAAAGTCTGAGTGATAATGGGCCCTGATTAAGAATCACATGTAAAGCTTTTTGCAGTACTTGTGTATTTGCCCTGTCCGTAACCCCTTAATATTTGGTGTACCTGAAATCATATTTTTATCTTGGTTTGTGTTTACTTTTGAATGCTTTCTTCTTTGTCACATGTGCACAATAATTACTCTATAGCTGGCATATCTGGTGTGTATACTAAAACATGGGAAGTGGGCATCTTTATTTTCTCATTCAGACTTCTAAACATTGCTTTTTATTTTTTTGCTAATATACATATTTCCCATTGAAATAATTTTGCAGTAACCAGCATTTAAATGCAGTGCAAAATACTGATGAAGTAAAAAAGCAAAAATCTTTCAATAATGGATAAACTGAAATCATTCTTTCTAAAAATGATTAGGACCTTCGGGAGAAAAACTGGGAAGCAATGGAAGCATTGGCATCAACTGAAAAAATGCTGCAGGACAAAGTGAACAAGACTTCCAAGGTTGTAATGCTAACTCCTAGAAGCAATCCACTGAACAGAGAAAATCTGCAGCTTGTCTTAAAATCAGACTAAAGCATTTAATTTTACTGCAATTTAAATATAAAATCTCCTTATCATCCACATTTATCATCTCTGTCATCTCTGCTTTTTTCATCTACTCTTTGAAGCTTTAATTTTGAACATGCAGTTTGTTATGATTACCTGATTGTTTGAGCTTTGGTGATTACTGCTTTACACTGAAGAATCTCAGGAGACCTATGCTACCCGAGTAAGCTCTTGTCACTGTATGCCTCGTGGGTTGGTTAAGGGCACTTTGGTAAAAACCCTGGCCCCCCAAAATCTAACTGAATTAACAAACGCATTTGAATACATAGATGTACACGAACTCCCCTAGGTTCTTTGGGGCACACCAAGATGACTCACACAAGGTAGAAAATGATCAAAGTGTTAAGTACAGGGAAGGGAAGGGATCAATTCTGGGTGCTTCCTTAGAAGAGGTGGAGTAAAAATTAAACTTTAGGTTTTGAAGTGGCTAGACAGTAATGAGGCATGTGTTATGTTTAGTATGGAATATTAATAGAAGGGATAATTCTCTTGACCTGAGTATTGAGTATGTAAAGTACTCCTGAAACATATATATAGCTCCCTCTGTCTTCAAAACAATAAAAGATATTCTCCATGAGTTCAAGTTGTTCCATGGGTTCGAAGACTCTAATGACTTATAATTGAGAAGAGTTGTTTTTAAAGATGGAGACAAATGAATGTGCTGGTTCAGTCAAGCATTTTGAAAATTTCTACCAAGAATAAATGTGAACAGGAGTATTGAATTTTGTAGATGGGTTAATAAAGTTAATTATGTGATTTAGTTGAGCATTCTGTAAGTATTTTTTGGACCACAGTAATCTGTTGAATTTTAAATGTAGGTCTTAATGACATTTGAAGGACTTTTTTTTTTTTAAGTAGAATAGTTTCTGTAAGGTTTTTTAATTTTTTTTATTTTTTTAATGAAGATTTTTATTTATTTATTTGACAGAGAGAGAGAGTACAAGTAGGCAGAGAGGCAGGTACAGGGAGAGGGAGAAGCAGGCTCCCCACTGAGCAGGGAGCCCGATGCGGGACTCGATCCCAGGACCCTGGGATCATGACCTGAGCCGAAGGCAGACGCTTAACCGACTGAGCCACCCAGGCGCCCCTCTGTAAGGTTTTTTTAATCAAATAAATGATTGTCATTATTTTTCCTCTAGTGTAATAGATTTGTATTTACTTCTGTACCTATTCACCTGCCTTAATTTTCGCTAAAACCCAAATTTGAGACAGGTGGCAGATACTGGGGACTAGAGAAATCTAGGCCAGGGAAAAGAATAAGTGAGGCCAGGTAGGTAGGACATTATTGTTTTATTGTGAGTGGTTGCCGTCAGTTCTGTTAGCAGAGGGGTTCTGGTGTAGTTTCTGGTTGTTTCTGTTACCTTATTTTTCACTGTTAACACCTGCCTTTGTAGCTTTTATTTTGTTCACGAGACTGCATTAAATGCGAATCCCTTACTTAATATCATGCCATTCCGGCAAGAAATTATAGGCAACTGTTCTAGGCATTCTTGCAAATTGTTTCCAAAAGAGAACTAGAATTTATCCATGTTTCATCATATGCTTGGCGATGAGTATAAAAATTGACCCTTATTTCAAAACTCAACACCAAGTGCCTGGTGGCTTCTTGCATAGCTAATGATGTAGAGAGAATAGAATGTATAGTCTTTCTCTATTTTAATGGAATTTAGACTGTTTTCAGATAGGCTAGGGGTAAAGTGATGTTGATAGACTCAGAACCATAAGTTATGCAGGGAGGAAAAAGAACTATGTAGAACTCCTTTAGTGTTTTAGATGATAGAAATAAGTAACAGTAACTTTATCTAAAATGTAAGAGAGGATGATACACTGCTTTTTCAAGATTATCTTTAAAGTAGTAAGTACTCTTGAGGAGCTACTATAAATGATAGGTTCACATGAAAGATACTTCATAAATATTACACTTAGATAAAAATAGCAATTTTTAATATTAGATCTTTCCCAGGTATTAAAGTGGAATGGAAAGTGCGATCCACAACCAAACTACCAAACTAGATGGAAACTTTTTAGCAAAATTAGTACAAATCAAAATTAACTTCTCATTTTTCTGCCTCTTGTTATAAATTAGGTACATTTCTTTTACTTAGATTCTTTTTCCCTTGGAAAGTTTTCCAAAAAACTTCGTTGCACAGTGCTCTCTCCCTGTTTTTCTTTAGTGATTGTTCTACCACTTCTATGGTCAGATGATAAAAATGACCTCTTAATTGTGAATTAATTCTGAATTAGCAGTAAATCATTTTCCTTGAATGAATGTATCTTATTTAGTTAGGTGTATTTCTGAAAAATAGTGGACTTTATTGAATCACTGAAAACACTCCATTAAAACATCTAGTAAAATACTGCCACTAATCTTGAATAAAGTTAAGTTTTTTGTGTGTGTTCAGAATGTGATTAATCTCTAGCTTTTTATTGGGTAATTTTAGATTTTCATGTTTAGATTTTCTAAATTGATGTGTATGCATCTTAAATCAGTAATGGATTTCAAAGGTCACATTTAAATGGTGCGGGAAAGATAAGGTTGAGATGTTGCTAGCTCGCTTGCCTTCTTGTCACCTGTTGAACTTCACAAGTGTTTTTTTCTTGGCTTGGTTTAGATGTGCATTTTTTGGGTGTCGTTTTTTTTTTAATTTTGTAGAGGTAGTTGGACTATTAGATTTTTATTTTGCGTGTGATCAAGTCATTGCCCTAATTTTGACAAACCATGATTTTGAGTTAATAATTGATATCCATTATAGTTGGTTTTAAAATCACCAAATTTAGACATGCATTTGTAATACCTTTAAATTTACAGCTGACAAGAGTCCCTGTGTCAGAATTAGTCGTCTTGATGCTTGGTATTGGGGAATTAATTGCCATCAGTTTTTCCTCTTTCTTTCCTGTTTTTCTCATATGTACCACCCATCAAATTTTGATGGCCTTTTTTTTTTTTCTTTGTAATGTCACTTGACCTTGAAGCTGGAAATGTGAAAGTTGCCATTTTAATCCCATGGTGTTACAGTCCCTCAGTGATGCATTTTTTTTTTATAGAGAGAGATTTGCCAGCCAGTAAGCCTCAGTTACGTTGCCCAGGTAGATTTTTTTTTTTGCATGTAGTTTAAGTTTTAGCTTAGGAGGTGTATTTTTAATTTTTTTGTTCTTGTTTGTTTTTTGCATTGTTCCTAGAAGGGCAAATCACTTGATTTCTAACAGCAAGGAAAATGTCCGTATTATCAGATACTACCTTGGTTTAACTTGAGATGTTATTTAGGATGCTTTAGAGATTTTGCAGATTTTTTCTTATGGAAGCATTTTAACATTTTCAAAATAAATTTTTAGCTTTTGTCAGTATTAAGATGAATTTTTAAAGTACTGTGACTTTTTCCTCCCTTAGAGCTTAAAAGACTTTTTTTTTTAATTCTGTAATCTTTTAAGTTTGACTTGGTTCATCTTCTGCTTTAGGAAAGACAACAGCATGTGGAAGCAATTGAATTAGAAGCTAAAGAAGTTCTCAAAAAATTATTTCCAAAGGTGTCTGTTCCTCCGAATTTGGTAAGATTGATTATTTCTCTAAACAAGTCCTCTTTACCGTTACTTAAGGAAGTTGTGAATAAGCAGCATTTGCATTCTACACTTGGTTTAGAAGTACATCTATTCCTTAATCTTTTCTGTTGTTAATATGGGGTGCTTTTGAGTAGGTAAGATAAATAACCTGGTGCAAAACTCATTTCTGTTTATTCAACTGATACTTTTGTTGTATGCTATAAATTTTACATAATATAAATATATTTATATTTACATAACAATTTACATAATATAAATATAAAATTATTTAGAGGATTGTAAACATTTGGGAAAGAAATATTAATGTTTAATAGGCCAGTTATGTTTTTAATAGCTTTATTCAAAACAGCATAATTTTGTTATTTTAATTTCATGTATTTATATATTTATTTTTAAGTGGGCTCCACCCTGGGGATGGAGCCCAACATGGGGATCAAACTCAGTGATGGTGAGATCAAGACCTGAGCCGAGGTCAAGAGTTGGACACTTAACTGACTGAACCACCCAGGCGCCCCAAATAGAGCTTAATTTTAAATGATTGCATCTAGTTTTAGGAACACTTCATTTTTTAATTAAATGTGTTTAATACTTTGAACCAGGCTTCTTTCATTTCAAAGCTCAAGATTTTGGTCACCTGTTAACTTCTTTAAGGAAAGCCTTGAAGATAATACAGAACAGCTTGCTTTACTTCGGGTTAAGTGAGAGAGAAAAGTTGCTTTGATTCAGAGAATTACTACAGTGAATATTTGAGAGCAGAGAAAGCCAGTGAGAGTGCATGTAGTTTGCTAAAATGGTGTTGTAGGGTCTTTCTTTAAAATTTTATTTTAATGGTAAATTGTATAAACACTCAGAAGTAGAGAGAATAGTATAATGAGCCTGCAGTACACAGTCTTGTTTTACCACTTCCTAGATTATTTTGAAGGAAGTCAAACATCAGAGCATTTCATCCGTATTTTAGTATGTATTTCTAGAAGATAAGGATTCCTTTAAAAATTACATTAAAAATCCTTAATTTCATACATTTTGTCAATGCATTTCTCCCTTTTGTCATATAAATTTTCAGTTTTAATGAAATAACCACATACTATAGTTTGTTGTTATCAGGACCTAAGTAAGGTCAGTATGTGATTGGTTTAAGCGGTCTCTTAGATCCTTTTGATTCCGTGGATCCCTCCTGTATGTCAGCAACATCCCCCTCTCCCCCCTTTTTTTTTTTTGGAGAGGGAGAGAATGAATTTAAACAGGCTCCATACCCAGCGCAGAGCCCAATGTGATGCTCAATCTCATGACCCTGATGACATGACCTGAGTTGAAATCAAGTCAGATGCTTAACCAACTGTGCCACCCAGCCTCCCCCCCCCCCTTTTTTTTTAAACCTAATGGTTTCATAAGAAATTTCCCAGTCTGGATTTAACTAACTGCATCCCTGTAGTGTCAGTGTGTTCTCTGTACCTTTTATATCCCATAAATTGGTAGTCAGTAGAGGCCTGATGAGATTCAAGTTCAGTACTTTAGAGGTAGGATGGAGTGGGGCAAGACTTCTTCATGGCGGTGTTGTGCACTTCTATCATGAGGTCTATAAATGTCTGCTTTTCTTTCTTTGGCCCATTGGAACTTATTTAGGCTGGCTATCAAATCCTTTTTGACACAGCACTGCTAAACTCTCACAGCTTCTTTGCTTTGTGGTATAACAAGATGTTTTTGATTTATCATTTACATTTTCTGCTCCAAACTTAGAATCAGCTGTTTCTCCAAGGAGCTCTCGGCCATTCTTTCTATGGGTGCTAGGTGTGTGGTATAAGTAAATTTAATAGTCTGTTTTATGTGTAGTCTGAGTTTAGCTGTTGCTCTCAGATTGTATCTACATACAGTCTACATTTAACTTGTACAAGAAGCAACAATTCTTTAGTTTCCTTTGTAACTGTTGCGGATACATTCAGGTTTGATCACTATAGTAAATGTCTACCTCTGTGGGTTCAACTGATGAGACAACTTGTACTGGACAGACTTAATGATACACTGTAAGTTCTAGTGCTGGTCTTACATGAAGCCTAGAAAAAGGGGTTGCTACTTATTTCATATTTTTTCTTTTGTGGCCATGACCTGTTTTTATTTCTTTATTCCTACTTTATAATTTTATTAATGGAAATAAAATTGGGGGATTTATTTATTTGGCAGTATTGAGCCGAGAGAGTTAGTGATTATAATATCTATTCTTTACAGATTGTGTAAAATCTGGGCACCTGGGTGGCTCAGTTGTTAAGCGTTTGCCTTTGGCTCAGGACCCTGGGATCGAGCCCTACATCGGGCTCCCTGCTGCTTCTCCCTCTCCCACTCCCCCTGCTTGTGTTCCCTCTCTCTCTCTGTCAAATAAATGTATAAAAAAAGAAAAAAAAAATTGTGTAAAATCACCAGCATGAAAAATTCTTCTTAATGTAATAGACTCATTCTTAACGGCAATATTACCCTCAACAGCCATATAGTTTTTGGCACTATAAATATTTATAAATCACCGTAAGACTTGGCTGATGATATTTGGCTTTTTTTCATCCACTTGTTAAAAGTTGAATATTTCTGCAGGTAGTCTGTTATTTGAGAAGTATATTAACTCTACTAAAGTGAACATTTTTAGATTTTTGAAAATGTGAAGAATAGGATAATCTATTTAATTTACCATGATAAAACAATGTTAAGTTTGTTTGGGCGCCTCGGTGGCTCAGTTGGTTAAGCGACTGCCTTCGGCTCAGGTCATGATTCTGGAGTCCCGGGATTGAGTCCCACATCAGGCTCCCTGCTCGGCGGGGAGTCTGCTTCTCCCTCTGACCCTCCCCCCCTCATGCTCTCTCTCTCA